AAAGTGACAACAATCGCCGTATTGTTCTCACTTCCTGTGAAACTAGCCATGTTATTGTTTTCATATTTTGCCAAATTAATGTAAATGTTTGATGTTAAACTTTGATTCTGTAAATAAATGACCGCATTCATTTTGATGGGTCAAAGATAAATAACGTCTCTCGTTACATTTCTGTTAAATTCAATGCACGACATGTACACAGTCAGAAAAATGAAGAACCCGTGAAATGTATGAATATATCCAGCATATGTCATACTACAGGACTATGCTACGACTTTCCCTTAAAAATTCAATGTTTTCATCGTCTATATGTTCATCTATAACGTCTGTTTATGTTGCTTTGCTATGGTAGATTTTTTTTTTATGCCTCGAATTGTGCCCTGTCTAGGACACGGTGTGAGAGATCTTTTTTTTATACTGTCTCTCCTCATGTTTTCTTTCCTTTTCTTATCTAAGCAAAATATTATTCTGAATAAGAATAAGAAGGCCGCGCTAATTATTTATAGCCGCAGCTTCGTGCACTCCGCCCATCTTCGGACGACTGTACGTACATATTCTCGTTGTATCGCGGTGCAATGCAAAGTTTATTCTGATTCTGATTCTGAAGCCCATATTGCTCTTTCCACAGCTTTCTGCTTTTCTGGGAGGATTCCAAGGCATTCACAGGCCAACTGAGAAAAATAGTCTGTCCAGCGTGTCCTGGGTCTTCCCTGGGGTCCTCTTCCAGTCAGACATGCCTGAAACATGCCAGGGAGCAACCTTACCAGATGCCTGAACCACTTCAGTTGGCTCCTTTCAATGTGAAGAAGCAGCAGTTCTACACTGAATCTCTCCCGGATAACTGAAATTCTCACCTACAGTATCTCTAAGAGAGAGTTTCCGCCATAGTGTAGCTACCCTGCAGAGAAAACTCATTTCAACCATCTGTATCTGCAATCTCATTCTTTCGGTCACTACCGAGAGTTTGTGGCCAAGGTGAGGGAGGAACCCCTCACAGTGTACCTCGAGGAACATGGTCAAACACCTTCTCCAAGTCTCCAAAACACATGTGGACTTTAAGGGCTAATGCCCATGACCCCTCAAGGACCATAATGAAAGTAGAGTTGGCCTGTGTTGCACAGCCAGGATGGAACCCGCATTGTTCCTCCTGGATCTGAGGTTCGACCATTGATCAGACTCTCTTCTCCAGTACTCCTGAATAGAACTTACCAAGGATGCTAAGGAGAGTGATGCCCATATAACTGGAATATAACCCTCCAGTACTCCTCAGCTGCCTCAAGAGGCCTACCTGTCAACAAGGCCTGATAGGACTCCTTTTTCAGCTTGGTAGCCTGCCCAACCTGGGGTGTCCACCACCGAGTTTGAGGATGGCTACTGTGAGAAGCACAGACAGCCTTGCAGCCGCAGCTCAAGGCAGTTGCCTCTACATTTGAGTCATAATTTTGTTCCACCTCATGTACCACATGTGATGTAAATGACAATAAAGAACCTTGAACCTTGAACTTAGAATGCAACATGGCCCACTCAGGATCAGTGTCTTCCACCTCAGCTGGGATGCAGTTAAAGTTCTCCCCGAGGTGTGAGTTAAAGATATTTGTGACAGGTTCTTCTGCCAGGCTTTCCCAACAAACCCTCACTACACATTTGGGTCTACTGGGTCTGTCTTCTCCCCCATCTGATCCAACTCACTACCAGGTGGTGATCAATTGACAGCTTAGCTCCAATCTTCTCTTGAGTGTCCAAAACAAACGGCCACAAATCAGATGACACGACTACAAAGTCAATCATCGACCTATGGCCTAGGGTGTACTGGTGCCAAGTGCACTTATGGACACCATTATGCTCAAACATAGTGTTTGTGATGCTCGAACCATGACTAGCACTGAAGTCCAACAAGAGAACACAGCTCGAGTTCAGATCAGAAAGGCCGTTCCTCCCAGTCATGCCCCTCCAGGTCACACTGTCATTACCCACGTGAGCATTGAAGTCCCCGAACAGAATTAAAGCGTAGTGAGGGTTTGTCAACATCTACCATCTATCAACTCAAACATCTACCGGGGAAACTTCAACACACAGACAGCAAGTCCATGTCTAAGAGTAGACACACACCAGCTCAGTGCCTCTCACCATGGGCAACTCCAGAGTGGAATAAGGTCCAGCCCCTCTAAAAGAGACTGGTTCTGGAGCCCATGCTGTGCATTGAGGTGAGCCCAACCATATCTAGTTGGTACCTCTCAACTTCACGCACAAGCTCAGGCTCCTTTCCCACCAGAGAGGTGCCCATGGCATCATACACCTGACTCATATGGCCCTTCTTGCAGGTGGTGGGCCCACAGCAAGGCAAACCCATGTTGCTCATTCAGGCTGAGCCTGACCAGGCCCCATGTGTAGAGACCTGGTGACCAGACACTTGCCGACGAGCACCTCCCCTAGCCCTGGCTCCAGAGTGGGGCCCCGGTAACACACTTCTGGCAAGGGATCCAAAGTTCCTTGTTCTTTTTGTCCATACAAGTGTTTTGACTCACTTTTTGTGTGGCCTGTCACCTAGGACCAATCTTCCTTAGGAGCCCCTATCAAGGGCAATTACAAACTTCCTGCATTTATGCTCAAACCAAGTCAAACAAAAGTTGTGATATTTTGTCTGAATTCATCTTATTGTTTGTAAAGCACATGCACAGCCACAAATGATACTAATGTCAGGTAGGAACAGAGCAACTGAATAAAACAAAGTTTGAACACATTCAAAAGCTGTGGCTTGAATTTCATAAATCGAAAAACATTTGCAAATGGTAACACACAAACCCTATCAACTTTAAGAAAAATGATACTTCAAACAGAACCACTGTATATCTGAAATAATACCTCAAGTTATGATCACCTCCGGTTAAACTTTATTAAACATGAGAGGTACACTAAACAGCTGCTGTTTAGTTCCTTCATGAAGACAATTTAAAAAGCAGTAGTGCAAACAAGTCTGTACTGTAATGGAGTTTTTTTGTTTACTCGTTTCTCGGTAAGGCACTCTACTGTCTCCAAGATTTGTCAGAATAGACTCTTCTTCTGTTGTACAGTATATGTTTTTTCCTATAAAGTGCTTCAGTTGAGCGTTAGTCAGTTTGAATGTTGACAAAGACTTGTTTAACAGTGCAGGAAACATGTTGCTACCCAACAAAAACAACTTTTTACCCAGGTGAAACAATGCTACATTATTTAAATAATGCTTCACACGTAATAGACCAGTATTTATGGGTGCAGAGTGGACTTTGGAACAAAAAATAAATACAAGAAATTATCCATTTATGCTGAAGGTTTGTTATGCAAGTTTTGACCACATTATGGAGCTCAACTTGCCAAACTGTGGGAAGTGATGAAAGCAACTTCTCACTAAACAGGAAGCTCTAACAGAAGAAGCTTGTGGGTTGGAGGTGTGGGGGTGCAGCAGCAGTGGAAGTTATAGCTTTAATGGTGCACCGTGCACGTTTCCTTCCTTTCAAAACATTAATTACACAGCTGCACCTTTATTTTTTTATTAAACTGCAAACGTTGTATGTTTTAACAGTCACAACTTGTTTTATAGTAATATTTGTTGTTGGTGTATGTTTAGATTACTAAAGTAACGACTAGCTGAACTGCTTATTGAAGGTGAAAAAAATTTGATAATTACTGATTTAATTTACTCATTCTCATGTTCTACATTCTTATGACCTCATAACCTAATAACCTAAAACATTCTCATGTTTTAGGTTACTCTGTTGGAGCTGGTCACTTTCTGAATCCTTCTTCTGTAGAGGTGGTAGGGGGAGCTCCACAGTACAACCAAAGAGGCAAGGTAGGACCAGATAATTAAAGGCCCTGTCTCACTATAATGTTTTTATAACATGTTGACGTACAAAAATTTTGTCCACCATGCTGAAGATGGAATAAAGAAATCAACTGGAAACATCTTTTGGCCGTATACACACTAATGCTAACAAGTTGAACAAATATATGTAACCTATGTTTAACATGAGTAACTCATCCATAGCTTGTCCCTGGTATATACATAACTCAAACAAGTGAATGACAACGTTTTGAACAAATACAGAGTTTCTGCACAATGTTAGTATAATTTATGCCAAACTTATGTACAGCATGTTGGAGCGTATTGCGACGATCATGGGACATCAGATATAAAAAGGGTAGCTCTCTGCTTTCCACATTTCCAGTCAGGAATTTTGCATTGATCAACATGACTCAGAAGAAATCAAACAAATCTGTGATCAGGGAAGCTGCAGCAGGATCTTCCATCTCTGTGTTGACAGCTGTGGACCTCTGCGCCTCATGGATCCAACAGGAGCGATGACTTGCTCATCATTTGTACCCTATATAGCTTTACATAAAACACTGGAAAATGTGCCAGCTGTAAATTATAAGCGCATTCAGTAATTTCTAGAATCATCAGCTATACATTGAATATATCTGCACACTGTAATGCTCCTCAGCTTGCAAAGAACGTGAGCCAGAGCCTGCTGTGCACTCTCAGAGCTTTTATTAATGAAACAGCAAAAACCCAGAGAGCACGAGCTGCTGTCACAGCCACAACTCATGCTGGACTCTGTGTTAACCAAGCTAATTACCACTGCTGCTCACCCGCTCTTCACAACGTCGTGCTCCTCCTGTCTCTCCCACACACACACACACACACCTCCTGCACACTTACCTCCCCCTCCACTTTGGAAGCTACACAGATGTTACAATATGTTGTAGAAATGTCAGATCTAAGTTACAGATGTGTTAGAAGTAAGTTGCTCATACGTTAGAAGAAACTTACCTGTACCCAACAGCCCAGCTGATTTCCAATGTGTCAACTTATGAGTAACTTAACTGTAACTTGTGTGAACTTGTGTATAACTTAACCAGCCACATCCTGTAATTTATGTCTCATTTATCAGCTTATAACTGACTTGTAACTTATTTAAAACCTACACCTAACTTATGTGACTTACACCAGTGTGTTTTCCAGTCTTTCATACACTGGCATGTCACTGTGTGACAGCCTTTGTATCTTGGATGGAAACTTTTCTTTAAATGTCAAAGTTCATGTTCAATAATTCAGGTAAAAAATCCAACAAAGTTAAGTCAGGTCCTCTGGATGGTTTCTTTTTGTTGAAATGTTTCGTCTTTCATCCAAAGGACTTCATCAGTCTGAGGAGCCACAACAAACTCAGTCTTATAAATAATAATAATAATAATAATAACTTTTATTTATAATGCACTTTACATTCACAGTGAATCTCAAAGTGCTACAAAGAGTGAACATCAGATAGCAGCAGGATAAAAGCAACCATAAAAGCAACCGAGAGCAAAACAACCAGGAGGATAACGCATCAGAATGAACACATTAAAAAAAAAAACTTAAAATGCACAAAATGCAGATAAAATACTCAAATAAGAACTATGGGTGAATTTTTAAAAAAAGTACAGTGCAATCAATTAAAAAACTGGGTGAAACAAGGTTTTAAGACCCTTTTTAAAACATGTCACGGTCTGTGGAGCCCTCAGATATGAAGGCAGGGCGTTCCACAGAGAAGTTCTTTTAAATAAGATGGTGCATTACCGTACAAACATTGGAAGGTGAGCAGATAAATTTTGTAATTGATCCGGGCAGAAACAGGAAGCCAGTGAAGTGAACGGAGTACAGGGGTGATGTGCTCATGCTTACGCAATCTCATCAGGACCCTGGCAGCGCTGTTCTGGACATTCTGTCGTTTCTGTATGTTCTTGCCAGGAATCCCAACGAGGAGTGCATTGCAGTAGTCCAGTCTGGAAGAGACAAAGGCATGGACAAGCTTTTTTGCATTGGTGAAGAACAGTGTAGACCGAAGCTTTGCAATATTTCGAAGATGAAAAAAAGAAGTTTTACATATATGCTTTATATGGCTTTCAAAGGTGAGTTGTGAATCAAAAATAACACCAAGATTGGTAACTGTATTGGAAAGAGAGATGTTCTGGCCAGAGAAAGAGATACTGAGGACTTTTTGTTGTTGAATTTGGTGTGAAGTACCAATTTGAATTGCTTCCGTTTTTGAACTGTTATGGTGAAGGAAATTTTGCTGCATCCATGCCTTTATCTCCTCCAGACACGCTGTGAGTGTGGAAAGAGAAGAAAGTGGAGAAAATGGAGAAGCAGAAGATGATGTAGATGGGGTCTCAGACACATTGTTACCCAGCTTAAGATACAGCTGAGCATCATCAGCATAGCAATGGAATGAGACCCCGTAGCTGCTGATAATACACCCAAGTGGTACCATGTACAAGTTGAAAAGAAGGGGTCCCAGGACTGATCCCTGGGGCACACCACAAGAAACAAGATGGCTCAATGACTTGGCACGCCCAATGGAGACAAACTCTGTTCTGTCCGTCAGGTATGATCAGAACCACTCCAGGGCAGTGCCAGTGAGCCCTGCAAAATGCTGTGAACGGTGGAGTAGGATGTAATGATCCACCGTGTCAAAGGCAGCCGAAAGATCGAGAAGAATAAGGAGAGAAGAGGAACCACGATCAGCATTGATCAACAGGTCATTTGTGACCCAGATCAGAGCTGTTTCAGTGCTATGAGCAGTATGGAAACCTGATTGAAATTTGTCCAGTATCCTATTGTCATGTAGATGTTCTTGTAGATGAACAGAGACTAATGTCTCCAAAACTTTAGCGATGAAGGGAAGGTTGGAAATGGGTCTGTAGTTTGCCAAGTCATGAGGATCAAGGGTAGGTTTTTTGAGAAGTGGTTTAATTATGGCTGATTTCAGGGCAGGGGGAATATGATCATATTGAAGGGATTGATTAACTATGGTGGTGATAAGAGGACTGAGAAAGGCAATATTAGCCTTGACTAGGGCTGTTGGGGAGGGATCAAGAGCACATGTGGAGGGTTTCATAGCCATGACAGTGACTTCAACCTCCTTCACACAGACCTCTGGGAAAGAACAGAAGGGGGGAGGGTTCCCAGGCTGTACATTTGCAGCTGGAGAGAGGGCAGGGGGTGAAATGGTGATGGCTGATCAGATTTTTTGGATCTTGTTTTGGAAAAAGGAGATAAAGTTGTTACAAAGATCATTAGTGGGGTCATTGAGTGATGTTGTTCGTGGTTGAAGGAGGTGAGTGATGGTTGAAAAAAGTATTTTGTAGTTACCAGGGTTATTAGAGATTATAGATGAGTAAAATAAAGATTGAGCATCTTTGAGGGACCTAGCATACATCTTACAATGCTCCATATAAGCTAGCTTGTGAACTAGCAGACCAGAAGCCAAGAAACGTCTCTCTAGCACTTGACCAGCTGCCTTCATTTTCCTCAGCTCTGAGGTAAACCAGGGAGCTGAGCGTGAAAAGGCAACTGTCCTCTCCCTGACAGGAGCATGGTGGTCTAAGATACTGGAGAGGCTGGTGTTGTAGAAGTCCACTGCACTGAGGGAAGCTGGAAGGGAGCCAGGAATGAGGACCTTAAGATCAGCTGCTAGAAGTTCAGAGTTAATGTTTTTCAGATTTCTAAAAGAAATCTGTCGCTTTGGTTTAATGGTATTGTGCAGGAAAGGAAGCTCCGTATAGATGACTTTGTGATCGGATACACCCATGTCATATGCAGAGAGATGATGCACAGTTAGAGAGTTTGTGATGACTAAGTCTAAGGTGTGACCACGAGAATGTGTTGGAAGCTTGACATGTTGTTCTAAGTCCATACAGTCCAAAAGTTGAAGGAATTCAGCAGCTAGATGATTTGTAGGTGTATCAACATGAATGTTGAGATCCCCGAGTATGACTATGTTAGTGGCTGTGGAACAGAACATTGACAGAGTCTCTGATATCTCAGCAAAAAAGGAATAATGAGATTTAGGGGGCCTATAAATGAGGAGCACTTTCATTGAGTTTGGTGGTTTGGAGGAGAAAGCCAAACACTCAAAGGAGGACAACTCAGACAGAGTCACAGGAGAAAGGTCCAAATGATCTTTAAAAATGATGGCTAGACCACCGCCACGACCAGTACTCCATGCTCTCTGGAGATATTTATATCCAGCAGGACATGCCTCATTGAGAGCAGAGAAAATGTTTGGCTGATGCCAAGTCTCTGTAAGGCACATAATATCCAAATCCTTATCCAGAATGTGTTCCTGGATAAGGCATGCTTTATTAGTCAAGGACTGCACATTGAAGAGTTCGATTTTAAGATAAGGCGCAGCCATATATTTTTTAATAGGCTTGAGAAGATTAAAATCCACTCCACGTTTCCCATCCTGCGCCTGAGAGAATGCAGGAACTGCTGTAGTCACGTCAGCACTACAAATCCCAAGAGCCGCAGTGTTCTGATGACGTGAGCACCATGCGCTGGAACGTTCAGCTGACCAGATGACCGGTATTGAGGACCCAGTCCGATTAAAAATATGCTTTCTCCGGGAGCTTCTGTGGGCATAAGGAGGACGTCGAAAAAGACCCAGCCTTTTGATGATGGAAACGTCCAAAAGATCCACATGGACATTGCAGTTATTAAGGCTCAACAGCTTCCCAGCAGAGTAGCTTAGCATCATGCTAGCTGAAGAGGGAGACACGGCGTCACACAGTAGCAGGAATACAAAATAGCAGTCTTCCTAACAACAACAAAAACATCATCCGAAGCCGCAAGCTGACCACAAAAGTGAATAAAATCAGGGAAAAATAAAAAAATACTTTAAAATGTTAGCATCCAGACGGAGAAGCGGCGAAAAAACAACGCCAGCGTCCTCTCCAGCTATGTTCATCAAATAGACCTTCACATAGTGGGTCAGCCAGTTTTATGGTGATAAGGTAGTTTCTGGAGTCTGCCCTCTCCCCCGTCAACTACTCTGAGGTAGTTATAGCCAAAGTGGTTCAAAACATCAAAGTTCATGCTCAATAATCCAAGTAGAAAATTCAACAAAATTTAGTCAGGTCCTCTGGATGGTTTCTTTTTTCTGTTGAAATGTTTCGTCTTTCATCCAAAGGACTTCATCAGGTGGTTGGCCCACAATGTCAGGAAGCCACCTATGGGACTGAGTTTGTTGTGGCTCCTCGGACTGATGAAGTCCTTTGGATGAAGGACGAAACATTTCAACAACAAAAATAAACTGTCCAGAGGACCTGACTGAACCTTGTTGGGCTGTTTTAAAATGCACCTGCCCTGTTTTGTTTTACCCTCCTGATTTTAAGATTTTACTGTGTTAAGTGATGGTTTTGATGGTTTCTACAATTTTCAGGTCTTCATTTTCACAATAGTCAACGAAAAGCTGCAGGTTGTTTCAGAAGTGTCTGGAAAAGAAGTAAGAAGTTTTTTTTATTTTATTTTTTATCATTGTCTACCTTCAGTTAAAGCAGAGAGAGGCTTAGTTTTTAACATTTATGTCTTTGTCCAGCTGGGATCTTATTTTGGCTCCAGTGTTTCTGTGGTGGATCTGAACGCTGATGGTCTGTCAGACCTGCTGGTTGGTGCTCCCATGGCAACCGGCACTACCAGAGAGGAAGGAAGAGTGCATGTGTACATCAATGAGGGACAGGTAGGAGCATTAACACTTTTAAACAAATGGCTTTACAAGTGTGGAAGTGTTTTGTGGGACTAAACACCGATCAGTGGGACACAGTGAGATTCTCCTGTCTGATGCTCTTTAAATCTATCTACAGAAGCTAAATTTAACTATTTTATGCCAGTTTTCTGAGAACACTTTTGTCTGAATTTTTATAAATCCCTATCAGGCAAAGCTGAAGGAGGCGGAGTTTCAACTGACAGGCAGTGACTCATACGCTGCTCGGTTTGGAGAGACCATAGCTGACCTTGGAGACTTGGATGATGATGGTTATCCAGGTAACAAACACACACAGTCTCTATATTATGAAATTACGTGTGGTCTCATGCAATGCTGATTTAATTTTTTTTAAATGAAATGTGCTGCTGACCTGTTGGCCAGGTCACCTTTAGAAAAGAGATCTTGATCTTGTGGGTTTTATCTGGTTAAATAAAGTGATGATGATGATGATGATACTGGAAAAATCCTGCAAGATATGTTGGTGCTCCAATATGTGTTCTGAGTAATTCTCAACTATTTTCATATTGAATTTTATCTTTATCTGGAAAACTGAATTATTTAGGTCAGTTTTGTGCTTGCTGATGTTGTATAGCTGTGACGGCCATCTTGAACTGTAACTGGGCTGAAACCAAGCATTTTTTTCAGAGGGTTTCATTAAATTCAGTGATTCTTGAAATATTTTAACACAACGGACAAAATGAACCCACACAGACACACACAAAAACATTATCACCTTTTTGCCTTCATCAGCGGATGACCTATATATAGCTTTTACCACTGTATGCATTTATAAATAAAAATTATGTATAAAGTGATTATTTATAAATAAAGCTGCAGCAAAAATATGATAATTCCTAATAATATTATACATTTTATTCTTCTTTTGCTGCTACTGAAATCTTTTAAGTAACGAATCCTCCTGCAGTACTGCAGTAATACTACTTAGAATACTCATACTACTTCCATTACTAATAAACAATTATACAACTGAAAGTATTACATGTTTCTTTTGATAATAAGCATGGTTCTGTCTTATATATTATTACAGCAACTATTAAAATATTTCTATATTCTATAAAAAATCATTATTAAAGTAACTACTGTCAGTACAACAAATATTACTGTAGTTTTGACTTTGCATTTGCTACTAGTGTCTCCACAGAGATGCTTCAGTGAAGGAGCTGTGGGTTTTGCTCCAGGGCACCTCACCACTGATAATTATCCATCCATAAATTATCTTTACTTGCTTCTTCCTTTCTGGGTCATGGGGGTCACTGGAGCCCATAACCAGCAGTCACTGTGGGAGAGGTGGGGGACACCCCGGACAGATCTCCAGTCCATCCCAGGGACACATAGAGACAAATGAGACAAATAACCATTCACTCTCTCACTCACACCTAGGGACAATTTAGAGTTACCAGTCAGCCTAACATGCATGTTTTTGGTTTGTTGGAGGAAACTGGAGTACTTGAAGAAAACCCACACATGCATGGAGAGAATTTGCAAACCACCCAGAAAGGTCCCTGGTGGGATTTGATCTGGCTGCCTTCTTGCTGAGAGGCAGCAGCTCTACAGCTGCTCTTTTTCTGCTTTGACACCCTCCCATAACTTTACTGATAACTCTGAGTTCTTCTGTCGCTGCTGCTGATTTAATTAACACAAGGACCACAACTCCCAGTTGCAGTTTTCACATTTTGATAATAACACGTCAGCCTGACTTTTAATACACCGTCCTTATGCATGCAACAGACCCCTCACTCCCATCTATGTGTGGTGTGTGTGTGAGGGGTGGAGTGTGTTATTAAGTTCATTAAACCGTAATGACAAACTGTTACTGCTCTGTAACTGAACATGCCCTGTAATCTTCCATGAGATAAAACGCTGCGCGTGCGTGTGTTCGTTTATTACTCATGTTGTGGGGTCATGTGTGTTTACATAAGCACGTGTGGGCCTTTGGAGACAAAAGGCTCAGTCAAAATCTTGCTCAGAAATGAAGTGAAATGTCCTCTGAGGTGATGAATTCATGATTTTATATGTTAAGTTTGTGTGAGACTCTCGCTTTGTTTAAAAAATGAAGTCCTGAGCTCTCCAAAGATCTCGGGTTACAGTGATTTTTTTTTACAGAAATTATTAAAAAGTAAGAAATTCACCCTTTCAGAAAATGTGACAAAACCGATGTTAAAAATTCTGCTAACAATCAGCAGTTGTTTTAATCAGAGCAGTGAGTGATCTGTCAATCCAGCTTTGGTTTCTGTAGCAGAAAATTCAAGTTTCTGATTTTTATTTACAGTTCTATGATACAGTAATACATTTTGTAGATCCTAACTATATATATTTTAGTTTGTGTCTAAATATATGATTGATGGCATCACATTTGATTGACAGCTGCTCCACAAAATAAGTCAAAGTCAAAGTTTCTTTGTCATATGCATTACATGTGGTACATGTGATGCTTAGTGTATATTTAGTTGATGTTTTTCTTAGTTCATATCTTAGATGTTATTACTGTTTTTCTTATACATTTTATTTTTGGATGTAACTGGGACCCTGTGTACATAATTTCGCTCCACCACATGTACCACATGAGGTGCAAATGACAATAAAGAATCTTTGACTCTCTGACTCTGACATGTGGTGGAACGAAATTATGTACACAGGGTCCCAGTTACATTCAACAAAAGTGTAAATTGTAAAGAAAAACAGTAATAAGATCTAAGATATGAACTAATAAAAACATTAAACTAAAAATACACTAAGCACTAGTAGTATAAAAACAATACGCCGAACAGCAGCAGCACTTTTTCAAATAGCTGGCTAAAGTCGTTTTCTTCTGCAAATTAAAAAAAAAAAAAAAGTAAGAATTTAAACCAATTATGCTCAACTTAAATTTAATTTTTGTTTAAGATTAATATGGTAATAACAATGAAAATGTGGTAAAGAGGACACCTGCCAAACAAAAAAAAGCAAAATTATTAGGTATGAATGTAAACATGTTGGTATATTTACAAGCATGTTGCTCAAAGTGCTTTATTTTTTTTTAAATTAATCTTTATTATTCAACTTTAATGTATATAGGAAATGTATGTAAATAAACAAGATGACATGACTGTGGTATTCAGAAACTTTATTTGAATTTTTATGTGTTTTTTTTAATATTCATTTTAATGTGCTTCATTATAAAATATATTTCTTAAAATTAGGTATCCAAAAAAGAAAAAAGAAAACCTAAGAATATTTATAAAACTAGTAATTTTTTGCTAAATGTTTTTTACACAACTTAGCTCAAACTCAACTAAAAGCTCTAAATCAAGATGTTAAGGACAAAAACACACCGTGTTTTGACAAAAAGAGTCAAATCTACTTCTTTGTTTGTTTTTAGAAATAGCAGTTGGCGCTCCACAGGAAGACCACCTCAGAGGAGCTGTCTACATATACAACGGCAGGAAGGAGGGCATTTCACCAACTCCATCACAGGTGCAGAACATCAGCACAGTCAGAAAACCATGGGGGCGGTAAAATAAATATTTTAGCTAAAATAATTGCAATTATTTTTTAAATGTGTATTTAAATATATATTTATAACAGTTAGCACACAAAATATTAAACTAATGGACTAAATTTGTATCTCATTACACTGCTTTTCTAGTTTTTATGGTTATTTTTGTAAAAAAATAAAAACAGCTAAAGAGCAGCACATATTAAAGAAAAAATGTCATTAAGGTGTCGATAAAGTAAAGGAAAATAATAATAATCAGAATAAACTTTATTGTCATTGCAGTTAAGCACAGCAAAAATACATTTCAGTACAGCTGTCCAACAAGAGCAGACAGAAGTGCACGGAGGTTTCAGCTTTGTTGTGAAGTGCTGCCCTTATCGCTTAGCTATGAAAAGTGAAGAAAAATACAAAGAAAGAAGGTATAAAAAAAGATCTATCACACTGTGTCCTTGACACAGGGCACAGTGTAAGGTAGCAAAAAAACTACCTCAGCATAGCAACATAGATAGACAAAAGACATTTTGCGCGGGGGGGGGGGGGGGAGCAAAGGGAAGCAAAGGCAGTGAGATTGTCCTTGAACACAACCAGAAAGTTCCATAGTCCTGATAAAGATGGAACAGTGTCTATCAGCCGGCTCAACTCTGATAAGGGTCCACAGATAGAGGCAGAGCAGAGCTTCTGGATTTCCATATCCACCAGGAGCATTTGTGATAAGTTGGTCTATCCAAGGTCAAGCGGGGAGGACAGATTCATATAAACAACAATTGTTTTGGGGCAGGCCGACTCTACTGATTTCATGTCTGCATTCATAGTTTCTACTGGTACACTCAATGGCGATGGCAAATCCACACAGCCAGATTTATGGACATTCTGCTGATCTGTGCTTGTAGCTCTCTCTAAGGTTGATTCCTTCATGCCAGCGAGTTCTAGGAGTCGCAAGTGGCCTGCTATTCTCAGAAATTGCGTCCAGTTTACGGTTTAGCTCGCAATGCATTTGAGTCTGAGCGCTCGAAGCACGGTGCAATCCTTCATATAATAATAATGATAATAATAATAATAATAATAATAATAATAACAATATCAGTTTAACACATTGGAGCAGAGTAAAGTAAGCAGAAAGGACCAGAAAGTACTTTGTACACATTAATGTTAGTTACTGATACTTTCCCTCTTGATATTCTTGTGGTGTGTATGTTAATGGGTATGTGACTGTGTGTTTATCCAGAGGATTACTGGTTCTTCTTTGGGTCATGACCTGAGGATGTTTGGACAGTCACTAAACTCTGGTATTGACATTGATAATAATGGCTACCAAGGTAAACTAATTATTCTTTCACAGCATCTGACACTTTGTACATTTCTGTTTATTTTGGGTCTGTTTTAAATTGAGATAAATTATGTTTCTGCAGATATGGCCGTTGGTGCATTCCTGTCAGACTCAGCTGTAGTTCTTAGGTAAATACTCAATGAAGTTTCCTGTTAAATATGATCAAAATGTTTTAGCCAGAGTTGTGTTTTTCTTCTTATAGCTGTGTTGTAATATTTCACTGAAGCTCAGTCAATGACTTCTCTATATGTGCTGTGTAGGACCCGTCCGGTAATTCAGGTGAAAGCATCTCTGATTCTGCCTGAGCAGATTGACCAGCGGGTGGTACTGTGCAAAGATCACAGGGCTAAGACTATCTGCTTCAATGTTACTATCTGCTTCAATGTCTCTTCCAGACACTTCAAAGGAGCTATAGGTATTTAACAGGCCAACAAGAGGCTGACTCAAGGTCCTATCTGTTATACTGGTGCTGCACTTTTGTGTATTTTTCTTGTGTTTTTATGTTGTATTGAGAGACGTCACAGCACTTACATATCTGATAATTAGCACGTGGTGTAATTTTCAGCAATACCAGGATGCCACAGATTTATTGGTCATTTTTAGTAGTGATTCCCAAGCACTGAAACATTTGTTTCTTGAATCACTAACCAAACCAACTGACTGATAATTTAGTTTCTCACATACATTTTTAAACTGAAAAAAAAAAAAAAAAATCCACTGTTGGACACATTATTCCTGCATTAAATAGGATTAAATAAGGTCTAACATTAGTATTGGCCATATTAGTGAACTAAAACCAACAGAATGGATTCACGGGGCAGAATTATTTCCACCCCATTGACACTCAATTGCTACCTGCAGTTTTGATGTTTGCTAACTTGGCAATAAAAATATTGACAAACGGGGGTGCTGACTTGCTTCTCCCCATAACTGCAAATAAGCAAAAAATTAGAATCTTCTTTTTCTTTCGGTTGTTCCTTTTTTCAGGGGTCACCACAGCAAGTCATCCTCCTCCATCTCTCTCTGTCCTCTGCATTCTCTGTCCCCACTCCAACTACCTCTATGTCATCTCTATTGACATGGACATGTATGTCCTCTGCAGCTGCATTTCTAACATATTTCTACCAATATACCCACTGTCCCTCCTCTGGACATGTCCAGACCATGGCGTCGCTAACTTTATCTCCCAGGTGTTCAACCTGTGCTGTACCTCTGATGATCTCATTCTTAAGCTTATCCATCCTTGTCATTACTATGTAGAACCTCAAAGTCTTCAGCTCTACCACTTCCAATTCTTTCTCCTGTCTTTTTGTCAATGTCACTGTCTCCAAACCATAAATAGTTGTGGTTGGTCTTGTAAACTTTTCCTTTGACCTTTGCTGACACCTTTTTGTCACAAATCACTCCTGTAACTTTTCTCTATCCACTCCATCCTGTCTGGACTCACATCTTCACCTTTACCAGACTCCCATTTCCCCATACAATTAGTAATATTGAATATAATATATATAATGAAAACAACTTCTTTCTGGCCCCTTTTTTTACTTCTTCATCAGCATCCTCAAAGCAAAATGGCATTGGTAGTGATATTTCTCTGCTCCAAGACATTTCCATACTTCCACTGGCATGTCATTAGATTGAACTGCCTCCTCCCGCTTCATCCTATTTAAAGCTTTTCGAACTTCCAGGTCCACAGTTTCTGTGACCTTTACTCTTCTTACCCTTTCATACGCTTCATTCATTAGCTCCTCAAAATACTCCTTTCACCTTCCTGTCACAGATTTCTCACTTGTTAAAACATTGCCATTCATTTCTTTCACAAGCCTAACCTGCTGCACATCCTTTCCAGCCTGCTCTTTTTTCTGACAGTGGATACAAGTCCTTCTCATTGTCTTGTCTAACCTTTCTTTGAATAGCTTCCTACATTTCACTATTTCACCACTAGGTGTTCTTACCATCTTTTCTCTGTCTAGATGACACACCAAGTGCCTTCCTATCACTCTTTAATTACTGTATTCAAAAAGCGTTCAATACAAATTTTTTTTTAATTTAATTACTGTAGTTGCTGTAGTAGTCCAGTCATCCGGAAGCTCTTTCTTACCACCCAGAGCCTTTAACAGCTGCTACATGCATGCTCCTGCCTTCAGTCTTTAGGACGCCCTATATTACTTTCTCTTTTGGAAACGGATGACGACTACAGACATTTTCAGCCTCTTTGAAAAATCCACCACCATCTGTCCTTCCTGTTTTTGTGCTTAACACCAAACCTACCCATCACTTCCTCATTCTCTGTTTCCTTCACCAACATCCATTCAGCTCTGCTCTGATCACCACTCTCTCCTCTCTGGGAATACTCTCTATCACTTCATCCAGATCTTTCCTAAATGTATCTTTCTCTTCTACGTCACATCCAACCTGTGGAGGGTAATCACTGACATTTAGCATCAGACCTTCTTCTACCTTCAGACACATCACCATATCTGACATTCTTTTCACCTCAACTACTTTTTTCTTTCACCTGCTCCCTCCTTCAAGGGTTGCCATAGCGAGCAAAGTAGCAAGAAGACTTGACAATTATTTTTATGCCAGACGCCCTTCCTGATGCAACCACAGACCACCTTTTCACGTAGCACAAACAATTCTTTATAAGTGATTGTTTCAAACTGTATAACTTGTGCACAAGTATAACATTTCTAACTTTATAATTTAAATAATGAACAGTGTTGCACAGCTTCCAGTCACAGATAAATAATTATTTTTTATTTTTTTCAGAACTTCAATATAATTTAACCTCTGACCTTCTCCATAAACCCTCCTTCCCTCATCGTTTCTACTTCCACGGTAACGGAACATTAAATAGCACAAGAGGGCGTGTGAAAGCATGGCAAAATCATCTTACCTGTTCAACACATGTGGCTTATCAAAGGGTAAACTCTGTAATGATCTTGTATAGTTGCTTGTATTTGACGGGACGGGATTAGCTGCTGAAATATTAAAAGTATCATATTTTGTTTTCCCTCCAACAGAAAGATGTAAAGGACGTTTATACTCCGATCCAGTTTGAAGTTTCTTATCGTCTCAGAGAAACAAACAGCCACAAAGCTTCCTCGAAAATCTTCTCTCCATTAAAACCGATCCTGCAGCGGGGTGTGGGACACCACAACACCATCACCAACCAGGTACCTGCAAGCAATACCAGCATGTGCACACAAGTGTTTTATTTATGAAAGATGTTTACTACCACCATTTATACTCCAATCAATGACTATAAATAAATAATACTATTATCATCAGATCTGTCCATCATTAAACTGATTTGATTCAAAAAGAACAAAAGCAGACAGTTTACACAGCACAATCCCCTCCTGCTTATCCAGATGTGTTTACAGCTGCAAATGCCTTATCTTCTGCAGATTACCCAACATCCTGCTGCTGTGTTTCCTCTTTGTTTCTCCCCAACTTGTAAAAAAGAGTAGAAATGGTTAACAAAGAGGAATTCATATATGGACTTAGTTATGAGAATATTATTATTAATCATGTGCAGCTCTGAGGTCAGGGGTCACGAAAGCTGTTTGGACCATTATCCATGATGGAATTCTGTTTGCTGTGTTCAGTCCTTGTTCTTGTTGCCATAAAACATTTGCTTTTTATTTTCCCAACAGACTTGGTTTGCTCGTTTCTGCTCTCAGCTGAACTGTTCCACCGACATGCAGCTGTCAGGTCAACTGGTGCTGCCACAGTAAGAAACACACAAAGTCAGAGCTCAGTGTATAAAGAAATAGACACAGTGGACTAAAGTAAACTAAGAGTAACATATTATCCTAATGGATTAGCTGAAAATCTCTCACACTCACTGCAGCAGTGGCTGCACTTTATCTGATTTAAGTACAAATCAAACTGAGCCATTCAATTCTTCATTAAAAATATGGATGTTTTCTTCCTAAAACACATATTGACACACTCAGGAGTAATCTTGCCAAAAATTTGCCTTTTGCTTTATCCTATTTCAGCAGAACTGAAACTCATAATGAACTCATGTGCTGTTGATTTAACACATTAAAACAAACAAAAAACAGCCCTCATGTCCCTATGATGTGCTGTCTTATCAGAATGGAAATGCAGATAGTAAAGGAGTTCTGTTCCTACAATTAGTCTAAAGAAATGTTTAAAATCACAAGTAACAGTCACATAAATACCAGTATGCATGATTTTCCAACAGATTATGGCTTTGAAACCAGATTAATGTCACTTGTTTATGCTGTTTGGTGCACATTCAAGCAAAGTATTAACAGTAGCAAAAGTTGTTTTTTGAGAATGGTCAAATTGTCTTTGAAAAATGTGATAAGTGATAGAATTTAAAAATATTAATACCTATAAAAAGTATTTGGTTTTTGTATGTGACAACTGATTTTGTGCCATTTTATTCAAAGTTTTTTATTGGTTAGAAACGTTTTATTTATTGCAGCCATGCATCACATGGAACTTTTGTTTACTCAACCAAAATTATTTAAAATAAATAAATATGATGTTGGTTTGGTTAGTAGGCTACAGTTCAGTTTGCCCCGAGCTCACTCTGCATACTGATGAAAACAAAGCAGCCTCATTTCTAGTGGAGGTGGAAATTATTTTGTGTAGTTTACCACCATAAACAACCAGGACCTTCAGTGTGCTCCTTAGACATTTAGATTTCAAGTTGTGTACCTTCTGTGCAGAGCGTCACGGTTGCACCCAGTGTAAGTTGAATTTGCATTTATCTTTTGTTGAGTCTTTTATCTCAGCGGCCTCTGGTTCAGTCACCTGGAACTGCAGTAGGTGTTTCTTGTCCTCGTTCTGCTCTGCAGCTTTAGTGAACTTTCAGAGGTAGAACCTTTAGAGTATCAAACGAGAACAATCAGTTACACAAAATTTGGTGGATTCTGTTGGGATTGTGAGAAACTCACTAAAGAGTCAGCTGACTGGAATCAAAAGTCACCATGACTGGGTTTAGATGTGTTTTCACACATTTTCACTGCATATTTCTTATGACTGAAACTCCACTGTTTATCTTCAGTCAGCAGACGTTCTTCGCTCTGGGCTCTGGACAAATCTTGTTGAAAACCTTCCTTCTGAACGCTGGAGATGATGCTTTCCTGCCTCGAGTGACACTGCGATTCCCAAACTACATCCACTACATCAAAGTGCTGCAGAATGTAGGTTCATACAGAAAGTAGAGTCAGAGATTCTTTATTGTCATTCGCACCTCATGTGGTACATGTGGTGGAGCAAAATTATGTACACAGGGTCCCAGTTACATCCAACAATAAAATGTATAAGAAAAACAGTAATAACATCTAAGATATGAACTAAGAAAAACATCAACTAAATATACACTAAGCACTCATAACATAAAACATTGAACATCAGCACAAACATGAACATGAGACTGTGTGAGCGGATGTGCATGCATGAACACATCAACATTGAAACAGATCAGCAGCAACATGATGTGATTTTTTACAGTGATTATTCTAGTTAGAGATTCATGAGTCTAACAGCCTCAGGGTAGAAGTTGTTCCTCAGTCTAGTGGTTCTACACTTAATGCTTCTCAACCTCCTTCCTGAGGGGAGTGGGGCAAAAAGTGTGTGTGCTGGGTGAGTGAGGTCCTTCATGATGCAGGTTGCCCTCTTCCTGCATCTGGAGGTGTAGATATCTGTGATGGTGGGGAGGCTGACTCCGACAGACTTCTGTACTGCCTTCACCACTCTCTGCAAAGCTTTTCTTTCTGCAGCTGTGCAGCCTCCATGCCACACGTTGATGCTGGAGCACAGGATGCTCTCCACCTGTAGAAGGAGGTGAGGACTGAGCTTCCCAGACAAGCTTGCCTCAGCCACCTGAGGAAGTAAAGTATCTGATGAGCTTTCTTGATCAGGTTGTTGCCCCAGCTGAGGTTGTAATTCAGGTGTACACCCAAGTATTTGTAGCTGGAGACCAATTCCACCACAGATCCTCCTATATTGGGGGGGTAGGTGTGTTTGTTCCATTTGAAATCCACAACCATCTCCTTCGTCTTCCTCACATTGATGTGACAATCTGATGATGTTTTAGGTCATACAGATGCAGAAATATAGAAAATTCTAAAGGCTTCACAAACATTCAAGCACCACTGAATGTGGTATAAGTCAGGTATGAAGACAAAACTGAAAGATAATTTGAAGGAAATTTCAACATAAATTTTATCTACAGTAATCCAAGTGATTTAGCAGAATAACACGAGAAAGCTTCCTGTGTCTCTGTGTAAGCAGCAGGACAATGTGGTGAGTTGTGATGTTGCAGAGGATGTCAACATTACATACGTGAGTGTTGACTGCAGGATAAACAGCCTCATCCTTCCAGCCCACTCCCAGGTACCATTCAGCCAATCACACTGTTTTCTATACAACCTTTAGAAATATAAGATATGGCAGTGTACTGCCATACACACACAATAGCTCCTCCATACGATGTTTTGTTATCAATAAACTAATGTTGATCTAACCAGATCATATCTAAAATAAACTAGTTCTAATTTCAGCTCACGCAGATTACTATTTAATTAATTTATGTATATAATTCACAACCAAATTAATCTGAATTTATTTGATACTTAAAATGAAACTTTTTGGGAAGTTTACATCTTAATGAGATATTCAGTTAGCATCTTGATTGCATCATCACAGTATTTGCAGTCTAGTCTCTGACATGTTTTTTTAACATATGTTTGCTTTTTATATTCTCTGGGCTTATAGGCTGCAATTTATTATGGAGTAGTGTACAATAAAAGTGTTTTCAATTGAATATTTATGTTTTGTTGTCAAGAAAACAAAACGTGTCTCAAATTCTGACTGAAAAGCAGCCCATAAGGATTATGCTTTTAAAGTCTTGTATAAAAGAGGAAACATTTCAACAAGAAGAATCTGTCCAGAGGACCTGACTTAACTTTGTTACTAAATTACCATTTCTTCTAAAAACAAACTAAGTAAAAAGAATGTGCTCCAAAGTATAAATGTGGCCTCGCTGTTTGGTAAGAACAAAAAGTCACTTGATTTTAGGCCAAAAAATGATGAATCACTGTACAGTAAGCATGTATTACAAAATTATTAAAGTTTTTATTTGTCCTCAGCTTATTCTCACAACATCTGATAGTCAAAGGGTCACACTCTGTGGTCTAGGACTTTTTGTTCTGTTTCTATATTTGTTTCCTACACTCATTTCCTTTTCAGTGTTAATGTTGTGAAACTGCTCAAAAACAGCAGCAGTTTTAACACTGTGTGTTCTCAGTGTGTCAGCATTGATGATGAACATCTTCACTGACATGGTAAACATTAAGAGTGTAACTAATGAATCTAAAATCCCATTTACTAAAAGGGGCGGCTGTGGCTGCTGAGTGGTTAGAGCAGTCGTCCTCCAATGCGAGAGTTGGGGGATCGAATCCACCAGCAATCACATGCTGAAGTGTCACTGGGCAAGACACTGAACCCCTTGTTGCCTGTGATGTGTGTCCCATCAGTGTATGAATGTGATCTAAAGCACTGATTAGTCTCTTTAGAATGATTTGTTCAATTAGCTTTGTAGAGATCTAGTAGACTGCTGTATGAATGGGTAAATAAGGACACAGATTAGAGTGTAAAGCACTATGAGTATCTTGAAATAAGATAGAAAGGCGCTATATAAATACAGTCCATTTACCATTTAAAATTAATTTATACAAATGTTTGCAGATGAATATTAGCTTTCTCCTGGATGTTTACCAGAACAGCACACCTGGTGATGTCCACATTCACATGAACTCTAGCAGGTAATAGCGAACTTTGCCTGCTTTTATTCCAGTTGTAATGTTTTAATTTCCTGTTTACTTGTGTGATGATGCATTCAATGTTATTTTATCTATTTGCAGTGATAACTTTGAGATGAATGAGTATCTCAGTAATAATGGCATGAGGCTTGTCCTTCCTCTCAAATATGGAGTCAACGTCAACATCCACGGGTCAGAGAGCTTCAGTGCTGATACATGATATAATTTTTTTTCATTGAGTACTATATGAACACTAAAATTATTGGATAGTTTACAGATGAAGCACATTCAAATTAAAATAATATTTTACTTATCATACAGTGCAACTAAGGCAGTCCTCATGTTTTTGTTGCCAAAACCTTTGTGTTTACAGTTTTGTGCATCCAACATCTTTTGTTTTTGGAGATGAAGACCTGATTCCAGCTGACTGCTACCCTGAAAAATTCAACTACACATACAAGGTGGGACAGCCCAGTTCAATGTGTGTTTAAATGTGTTTTGTGAAAAAATTTAAATTAGTTCTGGGTGTCAGCCACAGATCAGTGGTAACATGTTTGAGTTTGAACAGACCAGTCTTTGATCTTCAAGCAAAAGACGATATTAGAATATTTTATTTTGAAAACAAACTGAGACTTATCTGATGAAAACCAAACTTAACTAATACCCTGATACATGCTCAATAATCCAGGTAGAAAAATCCAAAAAAGTTCAATCTGGTCCTCTGGACATTCAAAAAACAAGAAAACAAAAAAGCAAAAAACAAAACAAAGCAAATAAATGTAGAAACGTTTCGTCTCTCATCCGAGAGACTTCCTCAGTCTGAGGTGCTGTATTCAGCTCAGTCTCTTAAATAGAACCTTCTCTGAGTGGATCAACCAGTTTGCTGCTGACAACCAAAACCAGCTGCTCACATGGTCAAGAAGGACCATCAGCCTAACAATGGATCATTAGCACACTGATGGCTGCTTACTATTCACAGGGGGTTGAGTGATACTAGCAATCACAGCATTGTAAGAGGGGGACAGTTGAACCCGGAGGCCTCCACCCCTGTTTAATGATGGATGATTTCTTTTCACAAAGATGGCCTCCTTTACTCCTCTCTCAAACCATCGTTCCTCTCTGTCCTGGATGTGAACATCTTCATCCCTGAAAGAGTGACCGCTG